TATATATTTAATAATTTAAATTAATTTTAATTATGAAGTATTAGAGTTTATATTAATAAAATATATAATATTAATAAAAAAATCTAACATAATCTTATAGTAAAATGAAAACAAAAATATAGTATAATATGTTGTAAAGAAATAGCACATCTTTCCTTTTATCAAACCTATAATTTCAATAATTAATTATAACCAAAAAAAAAATGATTCTTACTAATCTTAAAACCAAAAATTTTATAAGAGAATCAATAAAAAGAAACTAAAGGAAAAAACCAAAAAATAAGAAAACAAAAAAGAGAGAATTAGATAAATTAAACTAACCATTAATTTAAAGAAATAGCACATCAATTTAAATATAAAAAATTAAAATACAAAAATAAAAAAAAAAAGATAAAAAAAATATTAAAACATAATAGACAAACAAAGTGATTGTCAATTATACTTGAAACCTGCCCATTCAACCAAAAAATAATAATAATAAAAAAAGTTTCCCAACTAATTTAATTTGAAATATATTCAACAATCTTATTTCAATATAATCAACAAAATTTCTATCAAATATATTTGCATTATATAAGAGCTCTAGTATCTAAACATCCCATTGTCATCTCTTTTTTATCTTTGGTTACCTCTTCCTTTCTCCTTCTTTCCCACAGGTAAAATGTCCCAATATTTCTCTCAACTTCTTCTCCTTCTATTTTTCCTTATTCTTTCATCTTTTATACTCTCCCATTTGTATTTTTGTAAATATCTCTAGTTTTATTTTTCATTTATACTTATTTCAATATCTTTTCTGTTGACAATCCATCATCTTCTTTTTCTTCATCCTTCTCATTCAATGCTTCTTCTTTTTTAGGAAAATGATTCATGCACACCATGAATCAACATCCGGTACATCACACAAGCATTTCAAATGGAAAAAATAATGTTTTATTTGGGTACATGCTTATCCTAACTTATTCTGAATAGTTGAAAACATATTTTCTCAGATACTGTTCATCTTCTCCAATTTTCTTTTTATTAAAGTTAAAATTAAGAGATTAAAGTTAACAAATACTCAAAAATCCATTCTCTTTTCCAGATTTATCTCATCTCCAACACGAACAAAAATGAGAAAAATCCCATGACTTTTTTTTTTTTCAAATCTTAGTTGGAGATCTAGCTTGATTTTGCCAATCTGCAGAATACGAGAGGAATTCAACCAAGCATTTAGAAGAACATCGCAAGTACATGCAAAAAGATGAAAAAAAAAAAAGTCATTTGAAACCCATAAAATTCAAGACTACTTTTCCTCTTTTCAATTACATAATAAATCCTCCGTCTCTCTGGGTTAGTGAATCTCAAATCCCTTTATCTCAACATTCCAGCAATGTGGATCTTTGTAGTGGAAGAAATTGAAATGGTGGTGCTACTTTCGGTGCTGCTTCAGAGGAAGGAGGCTACAGTGATGGGAAAACGAAGGGGTTTTTGTGGGACGGAGAGGGATTAGGTAGTCTGGTGTTTGTAGGATCCAAGAGTTTAGATCTAGGTGCTGGCTAAAGTAAAAAAAAAAAAAAAAAAAAAGAATGAAAAATTTCAAATTTGATAAAAAAGAAAAAAAAAAGAAGTTAGATCCAAATGGGATGAAATTGATGGTTACTAATGGGTGATGAGTACCCAAATTTTCTGGATTCTTTGCTATGGAGAAGCAAGGGGAATAGATGGAGTGGTAGGAAGAGAAAGAACGAGAACGATGAGAATGGAGGAAGAGAAAGAAAGGAAGGAGAAGGAGGAAGAAAAAGAAAGGAGAAAGAAGCAAGGAAGATGTCACGCCCCAACCCCAAGGTCAACACGTAACAAACGCCACACATCTATAGGGATGACCCCATAAATGTGTAAGGCTACCTTAACTAAACAACTTTTAGTGTCCAAATGCAATAAAATTAAATTCTATAAGA